TAAGTTAATGTTGTTAACTGAGAATCTGGTATACGATAGTCGAGTCACTCGACTATAGTGTTCTCTGTTGTTGTAAGCTCTACTCTTGCAGTGCTCTAAAAATTGTATTTTCCTAAAACTAGGCATAAGATATTAACCCGCCAAATCTTTCAGGAAGGTGCTAATTTGCGTGGGTGTAATTTCGAGGATCCAACAGGAGTGCGGACTAATCTAGAAGGTGTTAACCTCAAAGGAGCTTGCCTGGAAAGCAGCAACATGGCCGGTGTTAATTTACGTGTAGCAAATTTAAAAAACGCGAATATGAAAAATTGCAACTTACGAGCAGCAGTCCTAGCAGGTGCAGATTTGGAAAAATGTAATCTTTCAGGCAGCGACTTGCAGGAGGCCAATTTGCGCGGAGCTAATTTAAAGGACGCTGAGCTTACTTTAATGGTGACCCCTTTGCATATGTCGCAGGCCATACGATGATATATACGATGGGGACAGTATTTTGTGCAATTACATATCACATATTAGATTCTGATGATTAAACTAAAAAATTTAAGATTATTGATTGTAAATACTTATAATTTTAACCGTAGCCCTAAAAGTAAACAGTATTAGGACTTAATTGTATTTGCATAATTTCCATTTGTGTTTTAATTTCCGTTTGCAAACGCAGTGCGAAGGACAACAAACAAAATCACAATGTAAAAATCTAGTGAAGATCGCAAATTCAACAAATATCAAATTTTGTGACGAAAAGTAATTATGTATTTTCGATTTAAGTTTGATCCGTTTTTAAGCAGTTTGTAGAGCTTGTATTCAATAATTTTTTATCATGTGAACTTTATTTTAATAAAAATACTTTTAAACCAACAAAATATTAACATTTGTGCAAATTGAATTCGAGTAAAACATTCGAAAGTAATATTCGGAGCAGGCTTGTATGTATATTTGAATACAACCGTAAAAGTCCTTTAGTTTCTGTTAGTTTTGGGTTTTCGGCTCAGCCCTGGTGAAAGCGGCGATAATCGACGGAAAAGAAGTTTAATCGACAAGATTACAAGTGCGTTTGATAAGTTAAAAAAAAGTAACAAATAACTAAAATATATTTAAAACTTACAACTGTTTTCAGTATTATTAATCGCCCGAACGACCATGACAAATGTTTCCCAGTACATTCAAAATAAATAAAACAAAAAATGAAGTACAGCTACACAAACTATAAAAAAATATGTATACAAATTAAAAATGTATTCTATTTTATAAATCTATTTTTATCGAGTTCTGCTGAACGTTGCTCTACAAATTTTGTTTTTGCGGGATAAAAGCTAGATATGTCAGATTCTCTAATGATAACTCACCGACGATAAGCTAATAAATACTGCGCGAAAAACTTTGGAACTCCAATTCGTGGAGGATAACAACTTTATTACCTAATTTCTTTGGAAGGCAGTTCCCGTAGTGTCGAATTTAAGCTGTTGGAGACATTGGGGATAAATACCACAGACTACTGGGCTAGTTGTATTCTTACTGAATATACCCGTCAAATGACACCGCATTCAGTGCCAAAAAATCAGTGTCTTAGTTCAAACACTGTACCAGTGTAATAACAAGTGTCGAGTGGCTCGACTATCAGATACCCGTTACTCAGCAGCAAAGCGAGATTGAAATGCGCCACCTACCCGCGATCTCAATATATGGTTATGTGGGCGGTAGACAGATTTAGGCGTTAAGGGCGTTAAAGTGGGCGTGGCATGCAAATTGTTGGCGCCACAGGATTAGGCGGTTTGTGGGCGTTAGAGTGGGCGTTGCAATTTTTTTTTGGATCAATCGATAGGTATTAACAAGACTAATACATTTCAGTTAAAACAAGGAAGAACGCTATAGTCGAGTACCTCGACTATCAGATACCCGTTACTCAAAGGGAAATGGAGATATGCAAGCAGCAAAGCGAGATTAAAATGCGCCACCTACCGGCGGTAGACAGATTTAAGCGTTATGGGCGTTGGAGTGGGCGTGGCAAATTTATTTTTGGATCAATCGATTGGTATTGACGACACCAATACATTTCAGTTAAAATTTTTTATCTAGCATGCAAATTGTGGGCGTTTAAGTGGGCGTGGCAAACTTTTTTTTGGGTCAATCGATAGGTATTGATAAGAACAATACATTTCAGTTAAAATTTTCTATCTAGCATCAAAACTGTAGGAGTTACAGTTTTTGGCGGTTTGTGGGCGTTAGAGTGGGCGTGGCAGTCTACTGAAACAAACTTGCGCTGCGTAAGAAGCTCAGGAATCTGCACGCCAAATTTCAATAGCCTAGCTCCCATAGTTTCCGAGATCTCAGCGTTCATCCGGACGGACAGACAGACGGACAGACGGACAGTCGGACATGGCTAGATCGACTCGGCTAGTGATCCTAATCAAGAATATATATACTTTGTGGGGTCGGAAACGCTTCCTTCTGCCTGTTACATACTTTCCGACGAATCTAGTATACCCTTTTACTCTACGAGTAACGGGTATAACAAGATACTGGGGGACTTCCTAGAGTAAAATTTCGTTTCGTTTGTGAATTTGTCCCAAAGCGTTGTTTTAAGGTCCTGAAAACATTGAAATTGTGTTAAGCAGATAGGTTTAAGAACCTTTAGTTCTACCACTTTTGGAAAACTAGTTAAGAGGGAAAACGGCTTTGAATTCATTAATTTCGAAGAGTCGTAACCTCTACTACTACTTCAGACGCAGACTTCTGATATACTTCGTTGAAAAGGTGTTTTGAAATACTATACACGCCTTTTTAACGTAATTTGTCTTAATGTCATAATGAAAACTTTTGACATACAACAAAAAAAATGCTAGTGTGGTAGAAGCTTAAATATTTTGCTGAAGCGGGTCGAATTAGTTACTTTTAGATACTGTATTTTTTTGTCGCATGTAGAATCATTTTTCGTCACAAAAGTTAATATCAAAACTTTTGTAAAGGTGCGATCGTCAGTATTTTTATATCCGTTACTCGTAGAGTATTGTAATCCGGGAGAAGTATGTAACAGATTGAAGGAAGCGTTTCCGACATCATAAAGTGTATACATTTGTGGCGATCATGTTTTTGCCATCTGGCATCGCTGGAAACAGCCCAGAGTAGAGAGGTATCTAAAAACATCACACTCTATTAAGAAGGTCGCTAAAAGCCCAACAAGAAAAGAGATCTCACCTTTAACAAATACTCAGTTTTAGCTAAGTAAAAAAATATACAATGACAAGATGGTACAGCAGATAAAAAACAATCTAAGCCACCTGGTTGGCACGACCAGGTGACAACGCGGTCGGAGCTACAATCAATCGCCAAGCCACAGCAGCTACCGGAGCAACATCATCTAGGGACAATTCTAACCCCCAATTGTGTTGGTACCACAACAAGTACGCATACAGTGCCCAACGTTGCATCCAACCGTGCTCTTTCCATGCCAAGAACAGTTTAGAAACTAAGCACCACCGTTGGAAATCAACAGGGCAGCACCGACGGTCGTAAGGCAAATGCTTTACAACGCTACCCTTTTCTCAAAGTAAACATCTGCAGAATTTGATCCTCCAACCTTCTCTTCGTTTCAGTATCCCTTACCACACATACAAGACTGCACTCATATATTTTTCGGAAAGCACGTATTTTCGAAGATCGATCTAAACCGAGCACACCATCAATTCCCCATCGAGGACCGATACATCCCCAAAACGGCCATATCTACTCCATTTGGATTATTCGAATTCACCCACATGACATTCAGACGCACCACAAACATTCCAACGATACATGCATTCCGCATTTTCAAAGATGTCTTCGTTTACTTCGATGACATCGAGGTTACATCAGTTAATATAGAGCAGCACCAACTTCACCTCGGCAAAGTATTTAAACGAATGAAAGAAGTCAATCGATTTCTTAGGACATCAAATCGATGCAAAGGTCATCTAAACCACTGCCAGATAAAGTGAGGGCCGTCATAGAGTAAGATTCTATATAGAGACACCATTTTCTCTGCTGCTCTCTTTTGAGACTTTGCCAATGAAGCCACCTAGGCGAAAGAGATAATATCCCAAGTTGTTTAAACGTTCGATGGGACCTTGTAGTTCCTTTCCGCTGTGAGTTTTGTGGGAATTTATATATCTGCACTGCTCTTACTCACTGTTTTGTTTTTGTAATTAATCCTCACCACTATTGCTGTTGCTTCGCACTTGTTGGGTGTGTTAAAAAATCAAAGTTAGCTTCAAACTTGACCTTGAATTGGCTCTCAGCAGAGGTTTGGCAGGGGTTCCGGCAGAGCAAAGGTGTCTCTATATAGATTCTTACTCTATGGGTTCGTTTCGGATTTCCCTCTGCCCAACGTAGCTAAGGAGCTACGACGGACCCATTGAAGTGAAAGAAAGGTAATCCAAATACTTTACCATAAACACTGGCACTCGATGTATCAAAATGTCTATAGACCGACTCAAGCCCGCCTTAATCGAAACTCAGCAAACTCAATTAGACTCCCTGTTCGTTTTATAGCAGTGGTCGGCAGCGGCCTATCTAGTGAGCATAGGGAAGTGTTCTGCCCATCCTCTGCTCGCTCACGTATAACGTACATGTTCGTGTGACTTCGGCATGGGTCTTCGGGTCATTTTTTCTCAACTTCGGCGCGCTTTTTTGTTGCTGTGGCAGAGGATCTCAGTGCAAAGCAGAGAAACGTCTCGCTACAGCACGCCGCGCGCAAACTTCGTGTTTGTTACACTCACACTAATGCAAGGCAAACTTGTGATGATATGTGTGTGCCGACCACTGTTTTATAGCCTCCCTTCAGTTCTGCAGTAGGGACGCGGTGACAAGGCTCAAGGCAAAAAGCTTTTTGTTTTTTTTTTTAGGTGCAGTGGCACGCGCCAACAACGAAGAGGAAACAGAAGAAATCAAGTAAAGGGGTGAGAGGAAGACTTGGTGCATTCTGTTTGAGTGATTGAAAGGGAAGCATCCATTTAAATTGTGCGCAGCAGAGTTACATTAATCGTTTCTTTAAGTTAATATAATAAAGTCAGGTAAGTGTTACATTAAGTTTAAGATGTTGTCCGTTGATCTTAGTTTAAAGTACGTAAATTTGAAGGTATTCAACGGGTTCCGTTAGCCGAAAGAAGATGAGGAAATGTTTTGTGCTAATAAAAATCCTGCAAAGGGTTAAACACAGCTGTAAAAGGTAAACATATAAATAAACAAATAAAACGACATTTTTAAACATATTCCCATACATTTTTTCAGGAGCGTGGACAAAGTTTTAAGGATGGCGATGATTAATGTAAAATGCCAATAACGTAACATAAAACTAGGCCTACTAACAATAATTGTCCTTTAACAGAAATTCTAAATAACACTATTTAATTAAAATGAATTTAAAAGTAAATAAAAATGTAGGTATTTTACATTCTATATTTTCATAAGTGAAAACTCATTGGAAATATTCTTAATTTCACAAGTGATTTCACTTGGGACGTGCCACTTGCAAGTGATTTTTTAAGTGAAAACACATTGGAAATATTCTGAATTTCACAAGTGATTTCACGTGGGATGTGTCACCGGCACGTGACAGGCCATACGACAAGTGAGTATATTTTCATTTCATTTTCATTTTTACTAGTGAAAAAGCGGACATCCCTTACAATTGTCTATATGGAGTGTTAAGTTAATTGAGTTATGAAGTTTAAAGTTAACTTTCAAACGCTAAGGTGACTATGCCTTCTTATCCAATCAACCTCTAATAAATGAGCCGAACAATGCCGTGAAAAAAACCGGCATGTATGGCTTTTGTGTATGTAGGTTTTTGTGCAACAGTTACCAGTTGAAGGACAAAAGCTGCATGTTGGCCTCATCCTTAAAGAAGTGTAGTAATATTTCTCTTCACAATAAGATTATTTATTTTCGCGCCGTTGGAAGGCTCTTTGGTCCTGCTACAACAATAATTTCCTTATAACGGCGCGCTTCTAGTCCAAATGCGTTTCCTTCTTAAAAAAGTCCCGAAACTCAAAGTACAAAAATTAACAAGCACTCGTAAATAATACTGAATAAAAACAATGAAATACTGAATTGATTTGCGTGTGCCATTTTTCGGTGATGCGAGCTGAAGCAATTTTTACCTATCTCTTTTTAGCACTTGTGTTTCAGATCGGCTAAGAGTTTTACTAGTCGAAAAATCTTATTCTTTGTAGTGTGACCGAAGTTTTCAAAGTTCACCCGCATGTAGCATAGTCTTACTGTCAAGCAGCTTGGTTTTTTGCCGAAGGGAAAACAAATCAATTTAAGCAATTTAAAAAGAATAGTCTGCTGGTGCACAAATAAACTACAACGAATGTTGTTCAAGCTCGCAGTCCAGCTCCGAGTCCCAATGGGCATATTGGACCTAGAGGAAGTGAGAGCCAGATTGGGAACGGGGTGGATCCGCTGATGCTGCATAAAGTCGCCCAGCATCCTGGCAATGGCTGGCTATGGCTTCTCCAACTTCACCAACTCCAGCGGGTGCCCTATTTTCCTCCTCGCTATAGAAGGCAGAGCGTCCTCCACCTCCGCTTAAGCTGCCAAGTAGCTGGTGGTGGTATCCGCTGTCCTACTGGAGAGGTCGTCTATTAGTACAACGCAACCAAATTCTTTTGGCCATATCTTACTTGCTTAGCGAGGACACGCCTTGCATGATATCCATGTAGGGGGCGAAGTCCCACTCGGCATGTTCCTTCCCACTGGGATTCCCTAGTGGATATCCTCCAGCACTGCAACTATTCTGCGGAATTTACTCGCTAAATGTTGTATTTTTTCTTGTATTTCCTTAGCTCATCTAAGAACCGCGCTGAAAACAGACCCGACGAAAAGCGTTAGCCGCGTATTTGCCTCTCCCTCACTCCTAGGTTAGCTCACAGTTTTCGTCGATGTTAGTACTAGGCGTTCTGGAAAACAAATTCGCTGAAGCAAAATTTTGTCTCTGAAGCGGACATCACCTCTTTGTAAAGATGCTTTAATTGGCTTAATCCAATAGGTAACCCGACTAAGTGGGACAAGGCTATTATCAGCGACCGAGGAACAAAGCATGGGGCCTCTGTAATGTTTTGATTCCGCAGTCTTTGGGAACTAGGGATGTCGGAAATATATCAAAATATATATATCGATATTTTTTCTCTTAAAAAAATATTATCATCGCGATATTTTTTGGGCAAAAAAAGACGATTTTGACGATATTTTTTAATGATATTTCCGATTTTTTATGTTTGGTCAGTCTTAAAGCCTAGTACTCAGATCGGCTAAGAGTTTCACTAGTCGAAAAATCGTATTCTTTGTAGTGTGACCGAAGTTTTCAAAGTTCACCCGCAACCCATGTAGCATGGTCTTACTGTCAAGCAGCTGGGTTTGTTGCCAAACGGAAAACAAATCAATTGGAGAAATTTGGATTTGGCGTCCTATTTCATCTGCTCTGACCTTCTGGATTCGATTTTGGGGTTTTTCTTCCATTTTTAATTTTTAGTTTCCACATCGCCTTTGCACGAACACCGCCAAAGAGTAAATTTCTTAATCTTTGGGCCGCGGCTAACGGCGTTCATCGAAAATTCACTCGCGAAATCTGGAATTTTTTCTGGTATGTCCTTAGCTCAGCTGAGTACCGCGCTGAGAAACAGACCCGACGAAAAGCGTTAGCCGCGTATTTGCCTCTCGCTCACTCCTATACTTAGCTCGCGGATTTCGTCGATCTGAGTACTAGGCTTAAGCCAGAAAGCAAAGTGAGAAGTGTATGTGAAAATGAGTGCGGCAAAAGATTTTTAAACAGAATCAAATGCTACTTCTGCGAAATGCACACAGAAATGCTCTCAGTGGAGGAGCTTAATATTTGTCGCGATTTTTACCATGTTCTCCAACCTTTTAAAGAAGCCACTGATAATGTGAGCGGCGATTCTTACGTGACCGTCAGCTTAATGATTCTTATGATTTCTATGATTAATACAAAATAAAAAGAAGCTAATATAGATATCGCTGAGGGCATTCTAACAAAATATACCCTTCTACAAATATCACAAAAGCAATTGAGTGGTTTGCTGCAGGATAACATACTCATGAAAGCCACATAGCTTGATCCTCGATTTAAAAAAATTTATTTCGATATGCCTCTTCACGTAAAAAATGTCACTGATGAAATCATAAAGCAGATGGTTGAAAAAAAGCAATCAGAAATACTGCCTTCGTCTGTAGGAGAAAGGGATTTCGGAGAACAGGACAAGGTCGCTTTAAGCATACAGGAATCTTTTCTAGATCTGCACAACAGGACCATAGAGCTCCGAGACTCTGTAGTCCAGAGTTCCGAAAGAAAGGAAATGCTGCTTTTCTTTAGTATGCCATTTTGTAGTTGGGAGACAAATCCTTTGGATTTCTGGATTCACAAAAATCAACTATGCCCATGCTAGCGAAGATGGCATTAAGTTGCCTGATCACGCCTGGTAGTTCGGTTTCATCGGAACGGTTGGCTTCTGCCATAAAGTGTGTTGTTTGTGACTCCCGTAGTCGTATGTTATACCAGCATGTAACCGAACGAGTTTTTCTTAAATCATTAAAAAACAGATTTGTTTGCGAATTAATTAAAAACAAGAACAAATGTACGTAATTTCATGAATTATAATTAAAAACAATAAGTTCAAATGTATGTAATCAGTATCTTTATAAATAAAATTTAAAACAATGGGCTGTGCCATATCCCTAATAATTTTGTTATTTTATTTATTTTTTTATCTAATGCTAACAAATAGTATTAAACTAAGCGCTAACAGTGGTTTTTTTTTTGGAGCCATAGCAGCTTAGGCCTTCGGCTCGGGGCTTAAGTTGTGGGTTTACTGTGAGATTATATACATATTTACAAGATTATACTATATATGGGATCCTTAGATTCTAATTGTATTTACATTGATATTTATTTATATTTTGTGTATTATTTTGAACTTTTTAGGAACTTTATGATGTTGTGGGAGTTTGAGTTTAAGGATTTGGCTATTATTTTCTTATTATTTTGTATAAAAGACCTGTAAAAGACCCAAATTTACAGCAACAGGACACCGTTTTTCAAATTTAGCTGAACATTAAAAAATATCAAAAAAAATCGATATATCTATATTTTTTTAATGATTTTTCTTAATATCATCGTGTGTTATTTTTTAAACAGCAAATATCATCGATACGATATTTTTTCAAAATCCAACAACCCTATTGGGAACACCCCTACTCGCATCATATACCCCCTTCCCATATAGTCCGTCTGTTCAAAGCTGTTGGAATTTTTGACAAATGTGAATCTCCGATTCCCACAGGGCATATCCACCATCCAGCCGATAACAGCTGATCTGAAGACCTGTGGCTAATCAAACCAAAACAGTTGTTTGTACCTAAGCAATTGTTCTGGAAAATTGCGTTAAGAAATGTATCTATGTAGAAAGGAAAGAAATAGCTTTTCCACACCTCTATTTCCCTGGTCTAAACCTGTTATGGAAAACGAATTAACTTTATAACTTCACTCTTGTGTAAAGATCGCCTTATAGTCTTATAACACCATGTCGGAAACTTATTAAGTGAGTCAATACCCCGATTACTCCAAAAATAAAATCCAAAGTCTACCACAAAAATTGACTTTAAACTCAAGATTCGTCGAAAGCATGTATTAGATAGAAGGAAGCGTTTTCGACCCAGTATATAAGCGTCCACAAACTGCCCTAAGCTGTGTCGATTAAAATTTTAGTTGATCTACATTAATATAAATGTTTTTAGTCTATTTTATGTATTGCTATCGCTTTCTACGCGGAACAAGAATCATAAGCTAATTCAGAAAAAGAAAGCAAAGAGGTAGAGGTACTATTAAATAACGGACAATTTAAACAATTTATTATTCTTGTCGCTGTCCTATACCGAATAAACTTATGTTTTTTTCTGTTGATTATTTATGTTTAGCAAACATAACATAACATAAATGTTATTAGTCTATTTTACGTACTGCCCTCTCTTTTTTGAAACCACCAGAAACATAAGCAGGTGGGAGTAACTAAAAAAATAAATTATTTGTCCTTTTCATTTATGTCTCCCTTTGTCCTCTACCCTATAAACCTAATAGAAATATCATTTATACACCTAATTCCGACTGGGTTAATGTCAAATTTAAATTGCTGGAAAACAATGGTATGGTCGCGGGTGGAGTGTGCATTTCGCTCTTTGCATTCTGTCTCCCCACAATGAGCTGCCGTGCATTCACATGCGCCAAGAAGGGACGGAAAATATTAATTCGTCGTTGAACGTAAAATTGGCCGTAAATATTTCTGTTATGTCTTAGGACTAAGACTAACTCTCGTAGTGCGCAACTGTTACTCGTGTTCCCAAAGCATTTTTGCGAATTTTATCTTTAAATTTTATCCTAACGTTAATTACCCTTCATCAGTTTTCAATTTTAAAGTTAAGTTACGGGTCTGACTCCCTTGTATTTATTAGGTTCATAAAAATGTATTCGATTTTATTATTTTATTTTTAATATCATACATAAGATATACTAGTTTTGCTTATTTAAAATTAATTATTAGAACCTATTTATCTCGTTAACCATACCTTTAACTCCATAAATTCACTCTAGGTTAAACAGGTTTTTAACCACCAAAAACATATTCATATTAAGCTTCCTCACCCAGAGAATCGCTGAAACAAAAACAGCTGATCCGCATAAACAAACCGAAACCCAAATACAATTTCGACAAGTACTGAAATCTCCTCAACCCGTTAAACATACTGAATACAAATACCGAAGTACTACATATGAGGTCCAACTCTCCGCTAAATCGAAGTGGTAGTAACTTCCCCGTATCTTACTAGAACATGTATTTCTTATGGAAGAATATACGGAATTTGCATTCTGAGGCAGAAAGCCCTTATGCTTTATTATTGTATAAAGAAAACACCAGAAATCTATCACTTCCCTGTACACGCGTATATAACTTCGTAAACAATAATTAAAATGAAAACTTAAACATGTTCTTAAGAAAACAAAAATTTAACCGGGTGTCTGACAATTGAAGTGAATAAATTTTGTTCCATCAACATTTTTCATTGAATATCAAAGAATTAAACTTATTAGGAAAATTCCTAAGAATATTTAAATTCAGTTTAAAATGTTCAATTCAGTTGCTCGGAATGGCAATGACGATGAGATGTTGGTCAACAGCGACGCCACAAGAATTTTCTTAAGTTAGAACCGTTTGAACCCTTTTAAGTATGTACAACACCATCCTCACATATTATTCTTTCGATATATCCATTATTTTTAGATAAATACTGTACGTTTTGGTGCAACAGCACGGCGCAACAGATCAAATGCATTTCCTTCTCAAAAAAAATTCCGAAACGGCATGTAGAAAAATCAGATAGGCTTGAAAAAAAATATTGAACAAAACACTGGAATACTTAATCGATTTGCGTGTGTAGTCCCACTTTCCGCTTCAGCGAGTGGTAGCGACTTTTTCCGTCTTATACCTCTCTGTGTGAATAAGGTATTTTCAACGAAATATTATCTATTGCTTGTGTGAACATCCCCATCAACTTTTTATGAAATATCTGAAATTATGTCTGAAAGGGGCATTAACAAACATTCTGTCTTTTGTTTATAGCGTTTAGGTAAAAAGTCTCCTCTTTGCAAGAAATTATTAGTAAAGACTGTTGAACTATATTTTATATTTTTTATATATTTTATATTTATTTATTTTTTTATATTTCAACTTTGGTTTATATTTATAAAGCTTATAAAACTCTTTACTGTATATTTTTGAAACGCCAAATTTGAATTTGATAGGCAGGTGCACCAGACCGATAACAATCTGACTAAATTAAAGTATTATTTTTTGGGATTTTCGGCACACACTCAAGACCCCACATGTAACCTGTCAAGTCAGAATCGGAATAAATTTCATTTGCGTTCGTTTTCTTTAGCTTGACTGGTTGTTCGGCATTTGTAAATAGTTAACTATTTGTTTTTTCATTCGAAAATTGCATTAACGGTCCAGCAATCGCGTCGTGCAAGAGAGGGGCAAAACATCGATTGTTCGAATTTCTTGCCACCACCAACGAAACGTCAGTTTTCAAACGTGGTTTTTTTGGAAGCAGCCGGAGAGGTAGACGTTGCTCTTGTGTAAACTTGTGTTAATCCAGCGAAAAAAAATCTTAAGCGAAGAAAAACCTGCAGCGGCTTGATACACAACTTAAAACGCGATACGATGGAAGATCAAAGCAACGCAGCTCCCGCTGCCGCCGCGGAGAACGGCGCAAACACCGCGCAGGAGGTGTCGTCGACAAGTAAGTGTGCCCCTCCAAGGGGGCGAATATAACGAAAATTGCATATACCTGCGCGAGTGTGAGAATGTTATCATAAATATTTTGCGCCGCGTTTCACCAGCCTTTGTATTGTCGTATTTTAAAAGGGGACAAGGTCTCGCACTCCCTTTTGCATACGGCCATTTTACGAAGTGCGAAGGCAAAAGGTTGTCAAAATTCCGCCATATTTATTTCTAGTAGACCCTAACTGTAAATAAGAGTTGTCAAAACGCCGAAGTTTAAAGCAATAAGGCATTGCCCAGCGAAGGAACAAAATGTATGCCAGCTTATTTTCTGTCGGCGATCCACGGCTATATTGTTGACATTAATTACGTCATCTTAGCGCGCATTCTGCACACAATTACTAGTGAACCCGCAAATAGTACTATATGAATCATTTTCGGCTGCTCTTGGCCGATTTCGAGTGATTCTGTGCTCGCCAGTGTCATTTCATCTTGCACGGCGCTCTTCGACCGCCCATTTTCCGTGGTTTCACACAACCACAGGCCGACGGCACTGCTCACACATACATATTAATTGAGAAATTCGCGATTTTGATGCGCTCATCGCCGAGAAATGTTTTTGCGTACGTGTGTGTGCGTGCCGGAGCGTTGCCAACTTATTGGTCATGCGTCAATATCGATATTTGGATTCTTCGATGCGAACATGTTCTTTCATGAGCAAGCTAACGTAAACGGGCGAAGGGTTCTACAATGACCAGTTGTTAATTATTTCAAGTAATTTTTGTTCAACCGCATATGCATAGTCAGAATTTGCACAGGTGGCAACTCTGCCGAATCTGTTTTCTATGCAGATTTCTGTTGTTGATATCGCTGACTGGTGTTTGCTGCTGTTTGGGTCAAATTCACACATCTGATTGCTGGATGTTTATCAGCCACGGTATCACCTTTAGTCCAGCTCAAAATTGGAGTGATAACACTGAGCGCCTTTTCAGCCGATAAGAGCTACTGCTGACATAGTGCCATTCAGCACATTCAAATCGCACTCTTAAAGTATACGTACAGTCAAACTCCCGTAGCATGAACCACCATGTGCAAGCGATTAAACAGCAGTTACAGGTGTAATCGATAATGTCAATAACACAAATTTGATTATAAGTTGATTAAGTTTTCAACGTCCATTTAAAGTAAATACCTGTCTGCATTCTATCATTGTTGATCGACACGACTTATTTACCTTTAGGTTGAGATACACGCTTAATTTGCGCAAATCTAGTAAAATATTCAAGTGGAAACATTGGGAAAGGCTTAATAACACCCAAATTTGATTAAAGATTTATATTCAGCACTAATTATAAAATTATTGTACAATACAGCTCAGCCCATAGAGCCCACAAAGCGCTCGTTGCGCGTGCAAACCTGGAAGAAGATCCAGGAGGGCAATGTTGGCATTGGATTGCACAACATATTCAACCGGATTCCTTCGTTTGTTGATGCTGATAAAGCTGCTGCATTGCTTATCAACGAGGAGGAGTTTAAGAAAGCACGTAAGAAGATCACCCAACCTGATTTTTACCCACGTTTATTGATCTATTCCATATTGCAGAGCACATCAAGGTAAACATCGACCGCGCCTTGCACGAATTCAAGGAACAAGCGTTGCTGGCCGACAAGTCGGTTTACTTGCCGAGCACCCGGGACTCGTCGGCGCTATGCCTCAAGGTAGATGTGCCAGCCGATGCCACCGATGAGCAGAAAAAGGAGGCTCTGCGCGTTCAGGACATCCAGAAGTTCCGCACGGAAATCGGACTGGATAGTGGTCTGAAGCTGGACATCGTGGTTATTGGCTCAGTCGTAGTGTCACGCGATGGCTATCGTATTGGACGCGGGAATGGGTTCGCTGATCTGGACATCGGCCTTCTTATTGAACTTGGAGCCATCACACCGCAAACAGTTATTGCCACGATCGTGCACGATGTGCAAGTGGTTGACGCTTTGCCCCTAAACCTATTCCAGAAGTATGACACGCCAGTGGACATCATTGTGACTCCCTCAGAAGTGATCCGTGTGGCAAAGCGCTTGCCTCGTCCCAATGGCGTCTTCTGGGAACTTCTTTCCGACCGCCGTCTAAAGATATTGCCTGTGCTGCAGCAGCTTAAGGAGCGGGAAGAGAAGGCGGGAAAATCGATATCTTTGAAAGAGGAAGATACCGACGTGGAGCAGCATCAAAACAACAGACGCCGCCGTGGGCCCGTGCGTCGTCGCTTCCAACGAGGAAACCCAGGACGGACCACCTCACAGACTGACAACGAACAACCGGGCGTAAGTAGAAACCAAACCCAGTACATTTCAGTAGTTTTTAACAGCCAATAAACAGGAGACAACCCAGAAACGCACACCGCGCCGCAAAGGTCGTTTCGTCAACCGCCGCAGACGAACAACTAAGGTTAGTAGTTACAGTCTGAGTAAAAGCATAACAGTGATCATAATTTCCAATGTAGTCTGAGGGCGATCAGTCTGGAGTTGAGGGAGGTGCTAAGAGTGAGGATCGTAAGTTCGAAGAAGCTGACACAGGTGAGCGTCGTCCAAAGAAGAACAAGAACCGTGGACCACGTGATTTCTGCATTAAGTTGACAAATTTGACACGTGACATTCGCGTCAAGGACTTGAAAACGGAACTTCGCAAACGTGAATGCAATCCGATGTCGATTACTTGGAAAGGTAAGCTACTTCAATTTTGTTTGTAAGAATTCAGCTTACAAGACCTTTTTGTAAGGTCACTTTGGAAAGTGTTTCCTGCACTTTGGAAACCGCAACGGTACCCCCAGTACCCAGGATGATGTGGACAAGGTGCTGAAGTCGCTCAATGATCTCTCGCTAACCATTACCACCGGTGGCGAGACTACTCCAGTTGCCGTTGCAGGGGTTGAGGGCGATGCCGCCGTGAAAGCTGAACCAGCCGAGTCTGCGGCGCCTGTGCAGACCAAGACCATAAATGTCAACGTCGAGCTAATTAAGTTTGGCGCCAAAAAGAGTGCCAGCACCACTGGTGCAAATGCAAGTGCAGGCGATGACGGAAACGCTGCCGGCGGCGCGCAAAACGGAGGAGAGGCCGGGACTGTGAGTGTCGGCGACGTAGGTGGTGCACGTATCGAGACTGTCGATACCACCACAGTATAGTATGACTTCGCGCTTGGCGCAGCCAGTGAACGATCGCGGCGGATTTCCGCCGGCAGCGCAACGTTTGGAGTTCAACGAAAAAAAGTAACATTTTGTTTAGAAAAAATCGAAAAATATCAAACAAAAAATGAATAGAAAGCGAACTCCGGACAAACACAAAGTACACTCAACATACACACTCACTAAATACACACAGACAGTTAAATGTGCATACACTAATGATCATGTTTTGCAGCTTGTAGTTTCTTCTTCTCCTTCATTACTCTACCAAACAAGAAAAGCAAAAGCAAGTTTTTCTAACGAGAACACAATCCATTGACGCTTTTTCTAAACAATTGCATTTGTTTTTGCCTAAGAAAAAACAAAAATTCGTTGGACATTATAATGTTTTCAACTTAATTGAAATGATTGCAGAAATACTCGTTCCACAAATGCAGCGTGGAACACAATTTCTTCTAAATAATCCTTTACTAACTTCTTGGGACATGTTAAATTACTGAGTTACACTTCTTAAAATTATCAATTTTGATTTCACACCCAACAATTAGATCAGTGGCTCTATCCCCTTTAAGCAGTTGAGCTGCTAATGGGACTAGCAGTTGTGGTCGAAGTTAGAGTAATATTAAAAACTGTAAAAACGATCGGAAATCCCAAATGCAAAAATTTTAAATTCGATCAAATGAATTAACAAACTATTAACATGTTGCATTTTCGCTGAAAGAATTCTACAAAGAGATAATTGTAATTTGGTTAGTGTTTCCCACTTTCACCGCAAACACCAATACCTTTAATTATACATTTTAACAAAAGATCAACACATGTGTGAAAACATCAATTATACAATGCAGAACATAATAATTATTTACTCTTTTTTTATACAAAGAAAAGGCAAAAAAATGTGAAACATGAATGAAATATAACTTGAAATAAAAATAAAAAAAAATAGGAAAAAGACCATAATGCTGTTATCTCGTTTATTTTTCCTTTGGACTATCGTCTAACAGTATGTACAATGGAGCTTAAACCTATTTTTACAACTAAAGTACCCTAAAAGATATATAATGTTAAAATTATTATAAACATGTACAAAAAGTGAAATTCAGCGCAGCTCGGAAAATAGATTCTGGTTCATTGTGGAGGATTCCTCTCAAGTCATTGTTGGGTTAGTGGGCCTGGAAACGTGTGCTCTCTGAAACCTGTTGCTTCGCGAACCCTAACTTTCTTTCGGTATTAATTTTGAATTGAGTTTTTTTCCAGGTCAAACTTGCTACCAGCCGATTGTTTAAATTGAGGTGAAGGAGTGCGATCGATAAACTCAATGCTGTCACTCTTTGACTGGGCGGCTGCAGCTGATGCGGTCGTGCAGTCGGCAACGTGCACGATGGATGCGGCGGCTTTCTCTTGGATGGGCGCCAGGCTGTTTACGATGGAGTTGGCCATGGCCAGTTCAAGTTCACGCTGCCAATCGTTCTCCTTCTGTTCCATGGCCTTGCGCTTTAACTCCTTGTAGCGGTTGTAAACTATAAATTCTTTGACCAGCGTGGTTTCGGGATCGCTGTCGCGTTGTGCTGACCGCTGTTTGGCCAGACGCTTCTTCTTTTTATGCAGGGGCCGCGTCTCCACAATCATTTCCTCCAGCTCCAAGCAGGGATCACAGTTGAGGTGGTCTTCAGGGGGCTTATAGATAGGCTTTATCTTCTTCTCGAGCACCTTCTGGAAGTCAATGTTACGCAGCAAGGGGGTCTGATGAAGCTCCTGTTTTGTGCTGATCCTAGCACCAGGATAAGTGGAGAGTAGCTGCAAGAAGAAAGAATTGTTCACTTATTCTCAGACTTAAACCAATCCTCTGCATCCCACCTTCTGCAGCAGATCGACAAAGTTGCTGCTCCAGTAGCGGGGATAGTGCACAGGGGTGTTTAATATATTCTTGATCTCCGCCAGGGGCGTGTTTGAGTGCACAACAAAGGGTCGAATGTTTCCCCGCATCTCATAGGCCACGACGCCAAGTGACCACCAGTCCACCGGGTAGCTATATCCGGCTAAATGAAATGGAAATAATTAGGATGCCGTCAATTGGGCTCATCCGAGTCCCCGTCCACATATAACCTCGGACTTGCGTTCTGCACAGGACCTCAAAATAATTTTTTGTGGGTCCGACTCGTTTATCCACTCACCCACTTCGTCCAGGGCACACAAAAACACCTCAGGTGCCATATACGGCTTCGTCCCCGACATGCTGCAGGCCAATGCATCCTTTTGCAACCTCGTTGCAATATTAAAATCAGTCAAATGGGCATGTCCTGAAAAAGTACAAACATGTAAGGAAATGTGGATACATTTGATTGAAATAACCTAAAACGTCTTTTTTTAAATAAGGCGAGAAAAAGAATATGACGCAGTTTGGTGGACAAATTGTGGGGCCTGCAAATGGTTTTTGTAAGTCGAAATTTTAGTTTCAGCCTCAAAGTTGAGGGCGCTACAATTGCCAGCGATTTGCGGACATATCAAACATTTTTTAAATTAAAAAGTAACATTTTTAATCTTCATAATCATCGTATTTTTTTGTGTATTTTCATAAATCAATAGCCACATTTTATTATACAATTTTCTTCAACAAAACAAATGAAATATGCTATGGTTCGCATATTTCATTTGTTTTGTTGAAGAAAATTCTCTGAAGACAGAAAAAATGTTCTTTTTTTCACCTTTAGGAATTTCTAATGACATTTTTATGTTTAATTACACCAGTCTATAATAAAAAATTGATGAAATACGCCTTTCAGGAAACCTTTGTTTTCCGGTAAGATACATCTCCCTGATTAAGAAAAGGGCACTTAAAATTTTTTCTATGGTACCAATTTTTTTTAAAGTTTAAAAAACGTTTTTTGCACTTTTTCATTTTCTAACTCGAGTTGTGATAAACCGTATTCGGTCATCAAAGACTCATTTTACAGCTCAAGAAAACAAAGCTTTCCTGAAAGGCGTATTTCATCAATTTTCTTTTGTAAACTGGTGTTATTTCGCAAGGAAAATATATGATATGTTTGGACTTTTTGTACAAAGTCTCTTTATTGCAATCTAATAAGAAGATACAAATCCAAAGAGAGCGAAAAATTTGTAATTACTTGTGTATAAAACAACATAAAAAAATCGTACGTTCGCGACTGGCATTTAAATTTTTACAAAACAATACAAAATGTGGGCGCTAGACGTGTTCTAGCGTTATGGGCGATTGTGGGCGTGGCATTCTGCTGAAACAAACTTGCGTGGCGCTGGAAGCCCAAGAATCTGCATGTAAGTCCCAACATTTTAGCTACTATAGTTTTCGAGGTCTCAGCGTTCATACGGACGGAAAGACAGACGGACAGTCGGGCGGACATGTCTGGATCGACTCGGCTAGTGATCCTGATCAAGAATATATATACTTTATAGCGTCGAAAACGCTTCCTTCTACCTGTTACGTACTTTCCGACAAATCTAATATACCCTTTTACTCTACCAGTAACGGGTATAACAATAACAAGAAAATACTGCCTTTATTTTTTTTTCATAATCTGTTTTATTAAATTATAAAAGAACTCATTGAGGTTCAACGACAAATTCTTTGGGGTTCAACAAAGACTATGTATGTTATGCAATTTTTTTGAAAAAATAAAAATGGATTTTTTTTGTTCTTTTTTGAAATTCTTTATACGTATGTATATGGTGTAATATCGGGATAAAAATATGTAATCGTTTTGAACATAAAAAATTACCCGAACTCCTGCGACATTAACGTTTACAACCCGCATACCTTATAAGTTTGTTAAGGAACGACCCACATAAGCCATTCCACAACAATCTCATTCCAAGTCGCCTAGTTTTGACCAAGTTACTTTCTTGTAGGTTTATTTTAAAGACTACGCTCTGAAAACATACCTGCATCGTCCAAGAGAATATTGTCGGGCTTTATGTCCCTGTGGACCACTCGGTGCGTTTGCAAGTACTCCAATGCACTGCCAAGCTCGCACACTAATAAGGCAACACTCTGCTCGGAGAATTCCACCTGAAGGGTATCAAAAGTACAGAGTTAAGGAATGAGCTGCAACGGGGGAAGAGTTGTGAATGCGAACTTACTCGGTTTTGTAAATGATATCTTAAGTCGCCGCCAGTCAACAGGTCGCAAACCATGAATAAGTCCTCCTCATCTGTAAAGGGTATGAGAAATAGAATGTGTGCATTTATGACTGCTTTGTGACCAAGCTTCAACAGAAATACTCAAAGTTAATTTGCATTTTGATTGGCAATCAAACCAAGCAAGACACAGAGCGCTGGAAAATCACCAAAAGCGGGTAAGGGTCAGAGCCCCAGGAAAGTTTAAACTCTCAAAATAAAATTAATACTTATGTCATGAAAGCCGTCTTGTAAATATTCCTAATCCTTTTTTAGAGTAGCCGAATCGATCTAGCCATGTCTGTCCGTCAAAAAACTTACAATACTATGAATCTATGTCAATACAAAGGTTATAAAAAATCAAGCAATAGTCTTACTATGCGAAATACTAAAGTCTTAAAATATTGTGGGTAAATAAACATTAGAAAATAAATATATCTATATAGATATTGTATAAGGTTGCAATTTAAGTTTGAGCAAAGTTTGAACTGTTCATGAAAGTGTTATCTTTACTTTTAACTTGAATGTATAATATTTACGTTTTAAAAATTAAGAGAAACATTTTAGTAGCTTACTTGAAGGCAAAATAATTTAGGCGCAATAAACCTGTCGAAACATTTTAAAAAGATAAACGCTCAATACAAGTTTTAAATGTGAATTCTCTCTGTGTACGCAAACTGTTCTCTTAGTTTTGAAGTAATCTGGATAAAACTTTCCTAATGTTTCTTTTTATTGCACACTCAAAGAAAAAATCCCGAAAGTCACCTTTGTTTTTAGAAAACTGCTATGAGAAAGTATACATCGGAAAATAAATAAGAGGAAGCGTTTCCAACCCCATCTCGGAAACTATAGGAGCTAGAATGTTGGAGTTTCACATTTAGATTCTTGGGCTTTCTGCCTCACTCAAGTTTGTTTCAGCAGGATGCCACGCCTACTTAAGCGCCCACAATTGCCCATAACGCTAGAGCACGTCTAGCGCCCATATTTTTTAATATTTTGTAAGAATTGAAATGATATTTTGTTCTTATTAACAATACCCATCTGCATGCTAAAAATTATTTAAGTCGGACCATTCATTAGTAAGTTATATCCAACCAATAATAAATAATTAGCAAACTCAATAGAGTGCGAGAGGGATGAAGATATAACCCTACAGAAAATCGGATGCATAGCCATCTAGGCTATGTATTTACAATGTATGTATATTGTACATTGTGCAATGTACATTTTTAGCAAACATATTTACAGTGGTGCTCATATACTTAAGCCACAAGACTTCAACCAAAAATTTAAACGAAAATTAAGAAAAGTTTTTATTTCACAGCTCCAATTTTTTGTGTCACATTAGTTCTATATATCAGTGTTCTAATAGAAGAATAACCAAGTTATAAAAATATATATTCAACGAAAAACTTAAAAAATCTGAGACCATCTCCAAAATGTCCTGCTCACATACTTAAGCCACCTGGAACATATTGGTTGAAAAAGTTAAAATTTTTCCAATATTCCTTATACTTTTAATAAATTTACTTCAATATTGAGTAGGATGACCTTTCTGCTTAAGAAGAGCGGAGCAACGCTTTGGCACTGAGTCCACAAGACGTGCGCACTGTTGATGGGTGATTTTCTTCCACTCTTCTTGCAAAACTCGCCACAAATCGTTTTTATTTGCTGGTTTTTTTGGCCAACGACTTGTTTAACAATTCCCCACAAGTTCTCTATAGGGTTAAAGTCGGGGCTCTGCGGTGGCCATTGCAAAACAGATTAAGCCACGACTTGACTATTTAGCTGGTGTGTTTCGGGTCGTTCTCCTGTTGAAATATCCAGGCAAGTGGCAAATTATCGGCATATTCTCCAGATAAATTGTTAACAAGGATGTCCCTGTCCATTTCGCCGTTCATAATGCCTTCTATCTTCCCTAGGGGACCTACGCCCGATGCGGTGAAACAGCCCCAGACCATAATCGAAGCCCCACCATGTTTAATAGTCTTCTTCGTGTATTTGGGGTCCAATTGTTTGTTGGGAGAACGTCGTACATATGGTTTACCATCACTCCCAAAGACATTAAACTTGCATTCGTCGCTCCAAACAATCATGTTCCAAAAATTGGGACCTTTTTGAATATGCTCTCTGGCGAATTGAAGGCGCTTTTTAACATTTTTAATTGACAGCAATGGTTTTTTTAGGCAATGCGTCCATATAACCCAAATTCATTTAGCCGTCTTTTTATGGTCTGAGTTGACACATTCACGCCATAATCTGCCACCATTTGACCCCTGATTTGCGTCCAAGTCTAGAACAGATCGGCTTTACTGATTTTGGAAATCCGTCTATCGTAGTTTAAAGTGGTTTTTCTGGGCTTTTCACGTGGAACACTTTCCCAGGTTCCATGTTTCTTATAAAATGCAATCGCCTTTCTGACTTGGCCACGCGAAAAATGTAAAGTCTTACAAATTATTTAAGATAGAATAGAATATTTGTGTTTTTCTTTCGGCCGAATTTGAATTCTTATTTTTAGCCATAGCGGTCAAATTGTTTTCGGAAACGTATTTAGTATTCAATACTTTAGTTTAGAAAATAACTAGCACAACTTTTCCGGAAAAAACACAAGTTTGACGATTTTAGCTCAAGGTGGCTTAAGTATATGAGCAGAGCACAATACTCCTTTTTGACATTTAGTCAATTTTTTGGAAAATACGAATACCTACTTGTCATTATACCCGTTACTCGTAGAGTAAAAGGGTATACTAGATTCGTCGAAAAGTATGTAACAGGCAGAAGGAAGCGTTTCCGACCCCATAAAGTATATATATTCTTGATCAGGATCACTAGCCGAGTCGATCTAGCCATGTCCGTCTGTCCGTCTGTCCGGATGAACGCTGAGATCTCGGAAACTATGGGAGGTAGGCTATTGAGATTTGGCGTGCAGATTCCTGAGCTTCCTACGCAGCGCAAGTTTGTTTCAGTAGACTGCCACGCCCACTCTAACGCCCACAAACCGCCCAAAACTGTGGCTCCTACAGTTTTGATGCTAGATAGAAAATTTTAACTGAAATGTAATGTTCTCATCAATACCTATCGATTGACCCAAAAAAAGTTTGCCACGCCCACTTTAACGCCCACAAACCGCAAAACCCTGTGACGCCCACAATTTTGATGCTAGATAGAAAATTTTAACTGAAATGTATTGGTCTCGTCAATACCTATCGATTGATCCAAAAAAAAATTTGCCACGCCCACTCTAACGCCCATAACGCTAAAATCTGTATACCGCCGGTAGGTGGCGCATTTTAATCTCGCTTTGCTGCTTGCATATCTCCATTTAGCTAAGTAACGGGTAACTGATAGTCGAGGTACTCGACTATAGCGTTCTCCCTTGTTTTTTACTGTGATCAGATGCTTAAATAACAGTGTTGCAAAATGCAAAAATTTCAGGCCGAAATAAATATGTTCAAAAAAGTTATTAAGAAAACAGTTTATGGTAGTGTCAGTGGCTTAAGTCTATGAGCACCACTGTATGTGTTGCTCTCTCTTTCTTGGCGCTGTGCAGAAAAATGGGAGCGAAAAGCGCTGCCGGCACTAAGAGAAAGCAGAGTGCACGGCTAACTTATTCTATTAAATAATCTACAATTTTAGCAATTATTCCTTTTTGTCTTTCTTTTCTCTCCAATAAACTTAACACCAATTTCAATTATCTAATTCCGTAAAATTTAAATTGCTGAAAAATAATGGCAGTGGCGAGGGAGAGGTTCGTCTCGCTCTTTGCATTGTCTCCCTCCATTCTGACCTGTAATCAATTTACACGCGCCAAAACAGAAATAGACGGGAGATCGCTTAGCCAGTGTTGCAAAGAACTAGAAGGCAGTAAATGGACCGAAATTCCGTGTTTTTATATAAATTTTAGAGTAACTCTCGTACACTCAAAATAAAATTAGCCCAAAAGTCAGGAAAATCGACTTTTTTTGTCTTCAAGACAAGCTTGACATACATTTTAGGTAATACATTTTCTAACTTTTTGGGTAAGCTGTTAATAATAATTAGTTAATATTTTATCTCCCTGGTCGGGGTCGAACACGGATCTCCCGGGTCAATGTCGCACTTAAATTGGGTTCGGACAACCGAACCTTGAATTTTTCTATTCTTAAAGGCGAATTGTTTTTGGTTTTGGAAAAATGTAGTCTTTTTGTTTTTTCTAAAATTAAAGGCGATGTTCACTCTTAAATATAAAAAGACAAAATAGACAAAAAAAACTTTATGTTTAAGAAAAAAATGAGTATTTTATGTTTAAGAAAAAAATTTCTAAGAAATGTCGTTCTATGGTGAATTTTTCTGCAGTTCAGTAAATGTTTTCTCTAATTTAGATTGAGCCGGGTTGACCGGTAGACCGTTCTAGCGCCCACGTATTTAACGATTCTGTAAAAGTGTAAGCAGGACTTTGTTACGTTTCTTACGCTAATGTGCCACTCCCACTATATCGCCCACAAACCGCCACAAAAATGTGCCTCCTAGAGTTTAAGCGTTACATAAAATTTTAACTGATATTTATTGTTCTCGCCAATACCTATCGATTGACCTAAAATGAAGTTGCCTTGCCTACTCTAAAGCCCACAAGCCACCCACAAACTTTTAAAAATTTTAAATATGAACGTTGATATGTCGTAAATTATTAAAGATATTAAATTGCTATTTCATATTTAGATTTCTTTGTACGCAACGCAAATTTTATACGCCACTGTACCACACCCACAAGCCGCCCAAAAATGTAGTTATTAATATTATTATATTATTAATATTATTAGTAGCTAATAATATTAAAATTAGAAAAGTCAAAACATGTTTAATATGAAGACACTTTTGACACTTTTTTTTGAAAAGCAGTGTCTCAGAAAAATATGTTCCTAAATAGAGCAAACAAAAATGTTTAAGCAAGAAACTTTGAAACAAACAAGAGAGAACGCTATAGTCGACGGCCTCGACTATCTGATACCCTTTAGTCAGCTGAGGGGAGTGCGAGGGAGATGGAGATGTGAAAGCAGCAAAGCGACAATATTGCACACCCCGAAGCAGCGCCACTTATCGTCGATTCCTTTATTTGCTTATAAATTTTTAATGGATGGTTAAATTTGGACCATTCTTTGAAATTGATAATCAAAACAAAATTGAATTTACACTTTTCAACGTCTTAAATATATGGGCGGTAGACAGGTCTTAGCGTGGGAGTATATGTGGTTGTGGGCGATAGAGTGGACGTGGCACCTTGCTACTACTCTCGTCTACCCTGGGGTTCAGCTTTATATTAAAATTTCATATTTTTTTAGTTTTGGGTAAGACTTTCTGCTTTTCAGAAAACAATTTTAAAACATAAGTATATTTTTTGGAATGATTTAAACTAAAGGTAATTATTTCCGCGTTCTTGATTTAAGAAAAAATTTCTACAATTATCAAAAGTTTTCTCCATACTAGAATAAAATGTTTGTAATTGAAAAAAAAAATTTTTATTTTAAAATGTAGGGTTAGTGTTATTTTGAATGGAGGTAAACGTATTACGTTTAGCCAATCAAAGCAGATTTCAATTTTTTATAAGAAAAACGATTGAAATCACAAAAATGTTTTTAAATCTAGTCTGAACACTTCAAAAAACGATATTTTGAGTCAGGAAACCAATTTTAAGAGATAACAACTAAAAGGACACAAAAGCCTTGGATTGCCAAAGTTAAACTTAACTTTTCCAATAAAAACACTTACCCTGAAACGAGAACCACAAATTGACAAGAAACGGATGCTCCAGTGACGATAGCAATTCTACCTCCTTTATGACACCGCCAAGAGCTCCACGAAGCTCGCAGGCAGAGCGACTAACATATTTCATGGCGTATAGGCTGCCGCTATCCCGCTTTTGGACAATGCAGACCTGAAAAAAGTGTCTAGTGAGTTCCAGAGATTTCTCCTCGGAATGCAAGCGGATCGCACCTTTCCGAAACTTCCCTTCCCAATTGCGCGAAGGATTTGGAAGTGATCAAAATTGACTGTAAAGTGAGAAGAAACGATAAACATACATAAGAGGCAATAGAGTTGATCTTTTAGCCCGTCCACAAGCGTCTATAACACTAAAGCCCGTCTAGAACCCACATTTTAAAAATGTTTGTAAAAATGTAAATGAAAGTTTGTTCTTATTATCGGTACATATCTACATGCCAAATTTTATTGAAATCGGACCAGTCATTAAAAAGTTATAATCAAATAATAATCAATATTTTGCAATTCATTCGAGATTGCCCACCACATGCAGCAAATAAGCTGTTTTCACTAATACGCCGCCAAGCCGCTAGGGGCGCTATAAGCGAGCTGGCGCTGTAGGACAAGTGGCGCTATAGAAGAAGAAGATAGGTGGCGCTATAGGCTAGGTGTGTTAGTGAAAAAAGCATAGTTGCTTTTATCATATATCCATCCCTCTCGTACTCCCTTAAGCTGAGTAACGGGTATCTAATAGTCGAGGCCATCGACTAGAGCGTTTTCTCTTGTCACTTATAATCTTATATTTTTTATTCGCCTGCCCACACACCCAATGACTTAAGGCTTTGGTAATTCAGTATGTGCCCATTGTGGGTGAACTGTCAAGGTAAGAGAACTTTGGGATAATTTTCTTTAACTGAAGTCTTTTTCTGGGGCATAGAAAAAACGGAGGCAGGAAGTCCACTTGCAGCAGCCAAAGATTGGGATATTTGTGTCCGACCAACTCCTCAAAGTGATTTCTGCCTAGGTAGCTAATCCTGAGCTCCTGCAGTTTATGGCATGTGCTCCCCAAGAGAAGTTTGAAGTCATCTCCTTGCAGGGGTACCTCAAGCAAGTTAAGCGAGATACTGGTTAGCCGGTGACGCCATAGGCTACCGAGGAGGAAACGACAGCGTTCGTAGGTCTGAAGCATCGCAATTTGGTCGGGCAGGTCTAGGAGTGTCAATATTCTCGACAGGCACAGGTCGTCTACCAACTCCATTGGACCTTAGTTCGCCTCGGGTGTGTGCTATCAAAATTTGACATGTAGATATCTTTCCTCTGGGCTACTGTGTTTCAGTAATTGTACTTATGTAATCCAAAAACATTCGTTAAAGGACAGTAATTAAAACCCATATTCCAATAAAAGTATTGAGCTAAATTACATATGATATCATGTAATTTTTTAAGATTAAACATTAATTTTAAGCGTAATTTTTGTCGATAGTTTCGTCTTAAATATTGCAACTCATTGCGATTTCACGACAACAGTTAGTCGTCGAGTAGAAGGAAATTAAGAAACAGGTAGAAGGCAGCTTAAGTAAGTATATAGTCAAATTCCTGGGATCTCGGAAACTATAAGAGCTAGAAAGTTTGGATAAATATACAGATTCCAGGCGCTTTTAAGCAGCGCAAGTTTTGTTCAGCCGATCTAGCCATGTCCGTCTCGAAAACTATAAGAACTAGGATGTTGGGACTTGGCATGCAGATTATTGATTTGGTGTGCCAAAAAATGTTTAAAATGGTCAACATACAAAACACTGTTTTAAGTTGATTAGGGTGAGTAAAATGTATCTGATAGTCGAGACACTTGACAATAGCGTTGTCTCTTGGAGTGCACTGTAGTCAGCTCACTCCGCTTAATAATATCAATATTGTACTTACCATCATCATCGGCGAGCAGACTCGCGTCGGATCTGCTCGATGTGTTGGCGCCCATGGTGCTACATTAATGGGTTGATCCGTGGTCTTGTCCTTTTCCAAAAAGTACTGAATTGGTTTTTTTTAAAGTTGTAGCCTTGGGCCTGCTTCGGTTATTTGACCTTTCTGGGGCTTTAAATCAAGTTGTTGTTAATTGACTAGTTGAATTAAAGGTAATCACACCCATGAATAAACATTTATCTCCCTCACAATCCCTTTATCTGAGTACAGAGTATCTAATAGTCGAGACTCCCGACCATTGTTTTCGCTGTTGGTATTTGTATGTCAATATAGAGTAAAAGGGAATATTAGATTCGTCGTAAAGTACTTCTGTGGGCCAAAATAATGGTAAATTGGTTTGTAAAATGATACATTCCCATTGAAGTAATCCCCTACCGATAAAATACACTTATGCCAACGTTTCTTCCAATCCCCGAAACATGCTGAATAGTCCCATTCCGGTAGAGCCATCAGCGCCTTCTTCGACTGTTTTAATCTACTAAATCGACTCGAAACGCGTTCCCCGGAGTGGTATCTTGAGTTTCGGGAATAGCCAGAAGTCACACGGAGCCAAATCAGGCGAGTACCTTGGTTGCGGAACGATATGCGTGAAACTTTGGAGGAAATGGTCTCGAAGAACGAGGGAAATGTGGGCCGGTGCATTATCGTGATGCCAATACCAGGAGTTGTTATTGCTGGTCTTCTTACACGAACGTGGCAAAAAAATATTCATTAGCCGGGTGGAAGGAATCAACATTGCACCGCACCACGAAAGTCGAAAGAAAACAAATTCACCTTATTTTTTGCAGACAGTAGTATATAACAGGCAGAAGGAAGCGTTTCCGATCCTATGAAGTGTATAAATTCTTCATTAGGAACACTTTTCGAGTCGATCTAGTCATGTCCATCTGTCCGTATGATCGCAGAGATCTGAAATCTTCGAAGTTGGGACTAAGCATATATATTCTATAGACTCCTGCGCAGCGCAAGTTTGATTTAGCAAAGTGCCACACCCACTCCTGGAATTATATTATACCCTTGCAGAAGGTATTATGATTTCAGTCAGAAGTTTGCAACGCAGTGAAGGAGACGTTTCTGACCCCATAAAGTATACATAATTTTGATCAGCATCACTAGACGAGTCAATTTAGCCATGTCCGTCTGTCCGTCAGTCCGTTCGCTTCCACGCAAACTAGTCTCTCAGTTTTAAAGCTATCCGGCTGAAACTTCCCAAAAGTCTTCTTTCTTTTGAAGGTAGTATACAAGTCGGAACCAGCCAGTTCCATAGGAATAATCGGGAAAATTTTTTTTTTTAATTATATCTTTGGTGTTTTTTAACATTTAAGCGCCTACGCTTGGAAATAACATTTTTTAATTAGTGTTGAATTTCGAATTTAATTTGATCAAAATCGGTTGATGCTAGAATAAACAGCTATAAATACCTAAATTTCGTACAACCGTGTTAAGGCTACACACTTGTGTTATATGTCGTTTGAAAGCTATTTTATAATATTTTTTAAGCTAAGCGCGGATTTATAATTTTCGTTTAGCTGTTAATAATAATAATAAAAAAATATTTTTTTGTCTTAAAAACGGTTTTAACGATTTTGCGTGTTTAGCCACATTTACCACATTTATTAGAACATCTAACACTGCCGGAGAAAAAAAAAATTTTTTTTCGTATCCCAACTTTATATAAATGTCCTGCAAATTGTAGATGATGTTAAACAGCTCAATATAATAATCTTTGGTTCTACCACTTTTTGGAAAAACACGCTAGTTTGGCGGGACACATTTCGTACACCTGTAACTTGCGAATTTCTAAAGCTACTTGTGCTTTATACCATTGTTTAAAAGAGATGGGCAACCTTTTTTTTTATTTTTCAAAAACGATTTCGGTTAAAACTTTAAACTATACAATCATTTTTCATCCCAAGAAAAGGTGCTTTTGCTTATCAAACTGACGCAAGGACTGAAGCGACGACTGATGAACTTCGACCGAATATCTAATGTTTAATTGTAGGAGAATCGGCCGATTCATTATCTAGCTTAAAAAACCGTCATAAACTGGGATCAGCGTCCGATCTTCTGCAAGCGCCCCCGTGGTGGTCATCGAGATAGAAATCGAGTTTCATACATAATGGCATGGCATTTTCAGAATCACTGTGGACGTTAAAAGGTGTTTTTGATTGACTATCAGATACCCTTTACTCAGCTAAGTGTACTAGGAGCACTCAGGCAGAGCATAGAGATAAACAATTAGAAAAGCGCCTGTTCCCAAGAATGCACATTTTACTTGCTAATAACTTTTTTAAGAATGGCCCGAATCGAACAAAATCTTATTTGAATTTTTCGAAAATATTATGCGATGTTGGTGCTAAACGGGTTTTAGCGTTATGTGGGCACCCTGCTGAAACAAACTTGCGCTACCCAAGAAGTTCAAGGATCTACATGCCAAATCCGGACGGACAGTGGGATTTTGAGATGTAAGCAAACATGGACTATATGCCTAAAAATTTAGTTTTAATGTCATCATTGTGGACCTAAATAGAAATAGTAAAAATGTCCTAAAATGTTTAATTTTACTTTTACCAACCGTTTGTAATAAGTTTGTCTCTATGTAAGGGCCATATAATACTATCTTTAAGGGATATATGGAAATTTAACAGTCACTTTAATTTTGAGGAGGATGTCACCTAAACCTATAAAATAAATAAACCTGTTTCACAAGAGCGCTTTAAAATATAGTGTTCGTAACAAACACGTTAATACGTATATTTTAATAATTCTCAATAATTTTTAAGATAAAATTCTGTTGTCTTTGTTGTTTAAGTTTGGGTTTATTTTTTGACTATTTGAATCCAAAATGTATCTCTTTGTAATGTGTAATAATAATTAAAAAATGTCTAAAATATAGTCCATAATATATACAATTTTTAACATTCAGATTTTCATCTGGCATTTAGCCACTCGAAAATATTACAAGGTCGTGGGCCAGCGTACTGTGTCAGCCTCGGTTCTTTGACACGGGCTCGAATCCTGCACAAGACACTTATTTTGAAATGTGTAAGTTTTATAGAAACATCGTTTTACCAAGTTACTAGTATAAGTTTGTTTGAAATTTGGTTGGAAATCTCTCGCAAAATCGTGTGTCAAACGAAACATTTGGGATTCTGACTAGCAAACGACATATACATATTTCCACATACGTAGTCTCATTGATCATTTATATTTTATAACTTCGCCCGGTGTTGAAGAAAACACACTAGTTCTGACCTAATCTACATTGCACGACGCTGAAGCATGAGCAGCGAAGGGTCTATTGACATCCGCGCAAAGGGTAGCGCTCGCGAAGCCACCGTCTCACTGCGCCAGAACGAGCTGATTCGGAATCTGCGCGCCCTGGTGGCCGTGCGCTTCGAACACGCTATTCCTCGGATCATACTTGTCTTCGCTGGTCAGGTGCTAAGCGATGAGGGGACCATAGACAGCAAGGGCATCGTCTCTGGAGTCACTGTGCACGTGGTTTGTCGTGCCGAAGGTCCTGGCTGTGCATTACCGACGTCGAACCCGGTCACTAAGCCCCTGAAGTCTGGCGAACGCCTTATGAGGTCGTGGAAGTCAGCAAACATTGCCTACCTTCACGATGAGCCCGGTGTGCTTCGAAGCCTGTTGCAGTCCGATCCGCGCATACGGAGCCTGCTCGAGGAGAACGCGACGATGCGCCACTATCTAAACAGCGACCAGAACCTGCGCGAGATGCTCTCGTTGGCCTTTAGTCCGGCCAAGCAGGAATTGGGACGCCGCCGCGACCTCCACATATCGCGCATGGAGTTTGTGCCCGGCGGCTATAAGGTGCTGAGCCGCCTAAACTATTGTATGCTCCAGGCCTACGAGGACAACGTGGCCATGTCCTTTCAGCAAGCATCACAAGGTGATAAACAATGCACGAACCCCCAACGAGGTCGCGAAGTAAAGGACCCGCTTCCAAACCCTTGGCGCCGGTCGTCCAGCACCTCGGACTTAAGGCAAATGGGCGTTCTGGCCAGACGCATCCTCGCAGGACGGGTCTCCGTGACCCAAAGTGAAAGTTACACTAAGGGCATTCCGGAAAGCAACTCGATGCAGGATCTAAGCTGTGGAGCAGTAGAAACTGGACCCCAGATCAAGCGCGGTGACTTTCTTTCGTGGGAACAGGGTCGATTTCAACACTGCTATCAGGCCCAGTTGGATCAGCTGGTTCAGATGGGTTACAGAAACCGCAATCGGAACAAACGCGCCCTGCTGATCTCTCTGGGCAACGTTGACAGCGCTGTCAGACTACTGGACCACTGGGATCGGTCTATGGAAGAATAAGTTCCATTCGAAATACTTTTGTTATGTTTTGTTTTGGCCAAAAGTCGGTGACTATGCATCCCAATTAAATCTGCAGAAAAAAATACTTAAGTCCTTAGAAATACATTAGAGGCGACATAAGCCAACAGTGTCTTTTGATCACAGTATTATCCTACTAGGCTATGATACTGTTAATACTATGCTCAAAAGTTTCGATACGTGAATTATCCGAATCCTGTTTTCCAGAGACCGAAAATAAGTTCTTTTTATACCCGTTACTCGAAGGGTAAAAGGGTGTACTAGATTCATCGGAAAATATGTAACAGGCAAAAGAAAGCGTTTCCGACCCCTATAAGTTATATATTATCTTGATCAGGAGGTGTTTGTGGGCGTTAGAGTGCTGAAATAAAGTTGCGCTGCGCAAGAACCTCCAGAATCTGAATGCCGAGTCCCAACTTTCTAGCTTTTATAGTTTTCATGGAAAGTAAGGAATCATCGTAAGTCCCAACCCTCTAGCTCTTAGAGTTTCCAAAATCACAGCGCTTAAATGGACAGATGTACATACATACATGACTAGATCGACTTTATAGGATGGAAAATGCATGCTTCCACCTGTTACATACTTTTCGACAATTAGTATGCCCTTTTACTCTACGAGCAACGGGTTTGAAATGTAAGTCGATTAAATTAATTGTAAGCTTTAATGTTCATTATTGCCAGCCAGGGCGTGTAAATTCCCGATTCACCGGCCAATCAATTTCGAAATGGACAGATGACATCATATTCTGTGGCGCAGAAGAAAAATCCATAATGTGAAGCGACAAGATGGAGCCGCGATTCATGTTTATGGCCGCACAGTTCAGTTGGCACGGAGCTTTTTTAATTTATGTAAACCCAGAGAAAACTAGAGTAATGTCTCAATATGCCCGGCTGCTTTGCATAATCCCCATCAAAATGTAAGTTCGTGTCGTATTAGCATAGATAAGTCATTGGTGAACTAGCGTGTATCTGCTGCTAAAAAATGTCGAGAAAGAGGCACCAGAAATGGCTCAAAAGCCACCCCAAAACACTTGGGAATCGAGTTGACACCTAAATTCATTGCGACCAAAGTGAAATAGAGTTCACTGACACTACCTGTCCGTTTCCTGTCGTCCGCTTGCTCTGTGGCTTAGCAAAAAAGAATTTTGGACAAACACCCCAGGACGTGCTTGCCTTGTACTACCAGCAGCGGGGGAGTTATCGTGGCGTTATTAAGGACGTAGAGGTAACCACTTCGAATCCCTAGAAGTTATCGATTGGCATGGCTCATTTCCGAGATGTTGCTTTTGTTTCTACCCAAGCAAGCACGCTCGATGGCTTATTTAAATGGGACTCGCATGTAGCGGTCCAAAGTGCTGGCTCCTAACGCGCCAACCAATCTACCACAACTCTCACTTATGTGCGTATGCATGTATACGTGGTGTACACATACCACACAGGTGTAAGTTGGGGTTCTATACCTGTGCGGAGTGGGCCTCGCAAGTTGTTGCAACTGCTCCTTTGATCCCTGGATGGCTGTATGTGTACACAGCTGGCGACGGTGAAAGTCACGCGATGGTCTCCACAACACTCACGCACACAGAAGTAAAATGGCCGCTGTTACCGTTAGCTGTGCCGTTACCATTGCCGTCGCCAATTATTCACGTTTTCGCTATCCGCTTTTCGGCCGTACGTTATCCTTTCTTGGCCGTCGAACCACCGCCTTCTGCCTCTGCGAACTGGGACTGAAACTGCTTTGTTTACAGATGTGCCCTTTGCCCTGTGGCTCTGCAAACGGCTCTCGACCTCTCTGAGAGACTCCGCGCAGGCGCCGGGAAGCACAGGACGGAACCAAGCCGGTGCAGAGCCTTATGAATGAACGCCAATTAGCCTAGCTGGCTAGCTTCACTCTATTAGCGTGGTTGCTTGCCATTATGACTGGTTAGGTCTATTTACGTAGCATACTTTTCAGGGCGCCGATTAGGAGCGCAACTTGAGCGTAAATTGATGCGGATCCATCCGTCACGCTGATGGATCAGCCTTCATCCGGTTGGGGCTCCGGTTCAGGTTGACAGTCTGACGACACTCTTCTTTTTACCAATATATTGGGGGGTTGAAGCTTGGGATTGTGCCTGATACCTTTCGCTAACACTGACGTTTATAAACTCTTTGGGCGGTTCCGACACATGAGTGAGCAGTTAAGGGATAACAAGGTACATTGTTCTGTAAATGTCCAATTAGCTGTTAATATTCTGAAAATGAAAAAATTGTGTGCCTGATTTGTGAGCCAAATGTAAATTTATCATTCTCTGAATAAAATAAGCAGCTTTAATATAAAGCATGGGATGTAGTTTGATTTAATTAATCTAAAGTAGGGGAGAGGGGGGTCAGGATAGTTAAGGGGAGAGGATAGTTTGTGGCCCTAGCGGCTAAGCGGCACGTTTAAAATGCGCGCTGCTTTACTGAAGTGCCTTAGAATACTAGAGGGCGACACAAAAAAATAGAGTTTATAGAGCCATCAGTTGACGAAGCTATGAATTAATTTCTGTCAACGTCAGTTATGACAAAATATTTTCATTCTGTTCGAGACACTTTTTTGGGCACTGGTTGCTCGCGGGATTTTTTGATGTAAGTATTATCTGAAGCCAAACTTCGTGCCAAACGCGTATCTGTGTTTCATTTTCTTGTGCTCTTTATTATCGGTGACATTTTGCAACAATTCAAATCACTCCCTGTGGGACAAGGATAGTTGAAAGTGTGTAAAAATACGGATATTGTTGAAGTATATATGTACAGTACGCATGAAAATAGTACTGCCACTTAGAACAACATTGGAAAGGAAGTTTTCGGTACTTTTATCGATTTCCTTAGAACGTGTTTCCACTTTTTGCTCAGAATGGAACATAAGTAAGAAGAAAGAGAGAAAGTTTCGTTAGATTTGCCACGGGAAGAGTAATTTTTTATTATAATTAGAATATGCAAGCTAAAATGGCCGCTCATTAAAATAGTAGTGCTTAATGTGAGAAGTTGTAAAAAAAACTTAAGAAGTTAAAAACGTCATTAGTAAGTTAAGATACGTGTTATTTATTTTAATGATGAAAATTAAAAAAACTATTTTTTTAGTGGGCCGTGGCAAGCACTGTTCGCCCGAAATGAGAAATTTAATTATTCTATTAAAAAATAAAGGAAAAACGTACAAGAAAATTGAAAACATATTTGGATGCTCATCTACCATGATATTTAATCCATTAAGGCAGAAAATCGGGGTGGAAAGCTTAAAACTACTGCGGTAGACGATAGACAGATTGAGCGAACCTCCACGATCATCCCATTTGCTTCTGCAGGGCAGAACTAAATCTGGCGATTAGTCTGTATTTGCCAGAAGTCCAAGAAAGGTTCCCCTTTTGACACAGAAGCACATAGTTGCAAGAATGGAGTTGGCGAAATTGCATAGAGACTGGCCTATTAACAAAGTGCGCAATATACTTTGGACTGATGAGAGTAAAATTTTTTCTGTTTGGTGGTACTGGTTCTAGAGAGTATGTTCGACGTCCACCTAACCAAGAATTTCACCCAAAGTTCACAAAAAAGACCGTTAAACACGGTGGCCTGAGCATCTGATTTGGGCATGTATTTCTTATGCTGGGGTTGTTCGGATACATAAGATAGATGGCATTATGGACAGTAATGTTTACGTAGATATTTTGGAAAACACTATGCTACCTTATGCCAGTTGGGAAATGCCCTTAAAGTGGACGTTCCAACACGATAATGATCCGAAACACAGAAGTAAGCACGCGAAGGCTTGGTTTGCATCCCAAGAGATCGACGTAATGACTTGTGGGAGGATGTTAAGAGAGCTGTATCTATTGTAAAACCAATAAACAAAACTCAGCTGTGGATGGTGGTTAAGCATCATTCCTATAAAGCGGTGCCAAGACCTTATCGATTCCGTGCCACGCCGTTGCACCTGAGTGTTGCAGGATAACGGATATTCAACTAAATATTAGATTCTAGATAATAAGAGATTATGACTTTTGGAGATATTTTGGAGTTTTTAGTAAAGTTTTTTTAATTTTTAGTAGACACTACTATTTTTATGAGCGGCCAAATATTGTGATTTTTTGTTTATAAGCCCTGAAGTGCAAACTATAATAATTTATAATAACAAAATCAGCTGAACTGATAAAATTATGTATGTAAATTGTTATTTTGAAAACATCGTTGAAATAAATTGTGATTATCAATCGATTTTCCTGCCTATCGTGGTGACCTCAAGTTCACTACTATGTTCATGATCATAGCTGTATATAGTGTTTATGACTTGTAGGTGCTTACACCATGGTTCGTACAAGCGAAAGACTGTGCCAATAGACAAGACGAAATTGGAAAACCGCGATGAAGGCTGCTCAAAACGAAAGCTCAATTTCAAAGGCAGCAAAAACATTTCAACTAAACTTTGAAACTGCGAATCTATATCAATCGCTCACGGCAGGACTTAGGAGCTGAACCGCAATTAAAGAAAATAACTCCGAGGTGGCAATGCAATAAGAGAAACTGAAGAATATTATAGTGCTGGCTATCAAACATTGCGCAACAACGTCCATTGCCAAAAAAAAGCAGGTTACCAAGTCCAAATAGCCTTGAAAATGCCACAGGTACGAAATGGGCTTATGTTTTCAAATAAATCTCCTAGGACTCGATCCCGCAACCTTACGCACGGCAGGCGGATGTCCTAACAAAACAAACATACACAAGTATTTTCAATTTCATACTTTATTTAAGTACAAAATGTTCTTAATTAGAGAATTTAATTCTTAATTAATAATTAATTAATCTTTATTCTAGAATGTTTGTGAACTAAATGTAAATATATTTTTAGAATTTTGTGAACTTAAGTTTTATTTCTTCTTTAAGATATTAACACCAGTTTATTTTAAATTAAGTACTTTTTGTGATCAATTTAAGAATGCATTATTCTTAGGTCTAGTAGCAATCTTACTTGGTTTCTCCAGTTTATTGAATAATGTTCTTGAATAAAGCACATGTTCGGGTGATTTGGGGTTTAAGGATGATTTATTCTTGTTTCAAAAACGCGCAGCATATTTATTCTTAAAACAAGGCAGAACGCTATAGTCGTGTACCTCGACTATCGGATACCCGTTACTCAGCTAAAGTGACCAAAGGGAAATGGAGATATGCAAGCAGCAAAGCGAGATTGAAATGCGCCACCTACCGGCGGTAGACAGATTTAAGCGTTATGGGCGTTAGAGTGGGCATGGCAATTTTTTTTGGATCAATCGATAGGTATTGACGAGACCAATACATTTCAGTTAACATTTTTTATCTAGCATGAAAATTGTGGGCGCCACAGGCTTGGGCGGTTTGTGGGCGTTAGAGTGGGGGTGGCAAACTTTTTTTCGGGTCAATCGATAGATATTGACGAGAACAATACAATTCAGCTATAATTTTTTATTCTAGCATCAAAACTGTAGGAGCCACAGTTTTGGGCGGTTGTGGGCGTTAGAGTGAGCGTGGCACTCTGCTGAAACAAACTTGCGCTGCGTAAGAAGCACAGGAATCTGCACGCCAAATCTCAATAGCATAGCTCCCATAGTTTCCGAGATCTCAGCGTTCATCCGGACAGACAGACAGACGGACAGTAGGACATGGCTAGATCGACTCGGCTAGTGATCCTGATCAAGAATATATATACTTTATGGGGTCGGAAACGCTTCCTTCTGCCTGTTACATACTTTCCGACGAATCTAGTATACCCTTTTACTCTACGAGTAACGGGTATAACAAGCTCATAAATACTATCGGAAATCAAGTATAAGTCGCGCTTAAATTCAAGATGCGTTTTTTTGGCATCCCTGTTTATAACAGATCAGTTGTTCTGTTCCATAACATTTTTTGTTAAAAAGCGTGAAAAATGCGCAAGCAAGAGTAGATATTGAGCATCAGCAGAGGAAGGTCGCGTGTGTCTCAGTAATATTAATTTGTCAACTTGAGTATAAAAACTGTATCAATATAGTGTATTAATCGAAGAATAAATCACTAATAATCAAATAATAAATTTAGCGAAGAAAATGAAAGCCTTTATCTAAACACATTTTTTGTAATGCAGGTATTTACCAATTATTAAGAGACAGCTATGACGAATTATTTGCTCAAGTCAAGCGCAATGTTCTATGGTTTATCGAGACTTGACGTTTGGAAGCTTTCCAAAAGTTATTCCAAGAAGATTAAAACTGTTGTCCCAAAAAGTTGGCTGGATAATAAAATGGCCTGCCGACACTGGATATATGAGTTTATGAAACGCCATTGCAATTTGTCCCCACGAAACCGCAACCAACCAGTCTAGCACGCACGACAAGCTTTAATCGAAACAATGAAATTGTTTTACAAAAATGTAGGCACAGTGATGGACCAGCTAAAGGTGCAGCCGCAACATATATGGAATTA